AAAGGCTGAGAAAACAAGTCTCAAAATAAAGGGTCGTGGCAGCAAGTATTTTACGAAAATTACCTCAAAAGGGAACCCCAAATCACTCTCCGAGATCACCAACGCATTGTCCTCGAAAAATCTCACAACTTTGCCTTTTGAATCGCCCAAATCGGTTGAGAGATGAGAGAGTTATGAGAGTTTGAAGTTTGGAAATATGTTGCTGTTTTTCTGCAATAATTTCCAAAACTTAAAACTCCGACGGGGTGCTCCGATCTCGTTCGGAACCCCGTGCACGCAAACAAGATATGCAATCATACCAAATTTGATATTCCGGACTCAACGGTGCAGTCCAAATTTCCATCAGAGGTCATCTCGATAAAAAGTGGGTCCCACTTCCAAAAGTCATTTTAAGTCAAAACCCACAAAAGGGCTCGGAAAGATATCGAAAACCTCGGGACACAAAAGAAGGGTCAATCTAGACCAAACTCGACTTTTCAGAGCTAACCGCACTGACGGAATTCTCATCCTAGCACGTTTACTCAGAACGTTGACCAAAGTCAAACTTAAGCCAAATTTCAAAGGCTAAAACGCCTAATCGCACCGACTCACACTGAAAACCTCGGGAGTCATGTAGACCATGCTACTAGCTAAAATGACCCTTCTGGAGCTGATGGAATCATCAGAATTGGATTTTGATGTCATCTTCTTGAAGTTTTGATCGAAAATGATCGTTCAAGGTTCATAAGCTCCAAAATACAAAAACTCGCACTAAGACCAAACGAACGACCAGGTGACCGAATTGTTAGTCCCAACAATTCATAAATGACTTGGGATCACTACAGGAACGCTCTAAACGACACACAGATGGCAAGACACAGAAATGACCTGGAGGGTCATTACACGGAACCTGAATTGTCACAACAGTTAAGGCCGCCATTAAACCAGTCATTCTCAATGCCGAATGAAGCACCTACCCCACCTGCTAATGTATCTTTTGCCCATCTCTCTTCACAAGTCCGAAAAGATAAGTCTGTATATCCCGATATTGAAGAACTGAAACAACATATGAAGGATTACGTAAGTAATGATATTAATTTATATTTTTTTGCTTATTCATAAATATAAAACTAAATGTTAATTTTTTTGAATAGGTTGACAGTAAATTTGAGTATCTTGTGAATTTGATAAAGGCAATCCACTCTGAGATGATGAATTCTAGGAATAGGGAGGACGACAAACAACCAAAGGTATTGTGTTGTATATCTGTTTTGTTTGTGAGTTTTAACTTTCATAGCTCATTTTGTTAAAAATTTAATTCATGAAGGATTTGGGCGGCAAGTCTACTTCGTGCATTGTTGAAGTTTCCGGTAAAGAAAACAATGATGGACATCAAACAAGTACCTGCAAGTTTGATCAACAACCAACCTCACCGATACAGATGGATTTTGCCATTAATGACCAAGACATTGGTGTATCTGATTTTGATGTTGAAGATCATGTTTATTTTTACTTTATTCATTGCGGATATCTAATTAAACAATTTATCAATAACATATTTTGTTTGAAAAAAACGTGTTTAAAAAATACAGACTGAAGATACATTGAAGAATCATCAAGAAATGAAGGAAGTTTCAGAACTTCAATCATCAGATGCAAATGTTCATCATACTGCAGAAACAACTAAGCATAAGAAAGTACTAATGTCATCGTAAATTGACTATTAGTATACATCAACTTTGTAGTGATTCATCAAAATGTGCCATTATAATACATTGCAGTTTACTTGTGTGATTATGATACATCCAATTTTTGTTTGTATGATACTTTACATTTTTTATTATATGTGTTTATGATACATTCCATTACAAGATACATACAAGTGTGATTATGATACATTACAGTTTATTTGTGTGATTTGTATACATCAAATTTTTGTGTGTATAATACTTTACATTTTTAATTATGTGTATATGATACATTCCATTGCAAGATACATATCAGTGTGTCTAAATAAAATTGATTGTCTACTATATGTAATCTGTCTTGATACATTAACAGTCATTTGTATATGATACATATGTTGTTTAATGTATCATAAATTGTACAATATGTTGTTATTCAGGATGATCCAACAACATAAATATCTCAACAGTTTTTCGAAGGAACAATGAACGAAGATGCTTCATATAAAGTTCAACGTAACACCAATCAGTCTGGGTCAGATACTGCTACATTTGATACATTGGTAATTTATGCTTTATGTATCATTTATATATCACATGGTTTATCAAATCTTATTTAATTATCAATTTGAATCATATAGGATTCTACAACATCTGGTACAATATCATCTGAAACTCGAGAAGTCATGCATACACTTATTGCTAATCTAGGAAGATTGTCTATTCCTGTTAAACCAGTTAGTGCGGTAAATTCACAGGAGTTAACCAACAGCCAAAGTTTGCTTTCGGACAATCAATTACCCACTGATATTCCAATCACAGAGATTGTTGTCCGAAGCGATACAAATACTCCTCTTGCATGTATCAGGATGCCTTCAAAAATCTGTAAATCTCCTTATTTGACTTCATTTGGGTCAAGTGAAAAAGGAAAAGAGGTCATGAAGGATGTAATTCGTCCAAATTTTCCATTTGAAGGTTGTGAGATCACAAACCGAGCTCCGTCATATCTGATTGATGAGTTTATTGAGTGGGTTACTACAGGTCTTCTCAAAACACATGCCAAAAAGTAAGTTTTATACTTTTTACTACATTTGTTCAATTTTGAAATTATAAATCTTGTTGCACTTCTAAATAACATCTTTTCTTTACACTTTATAAAACAGGAAACCAACAGAGGATAAGTATAGAGCAAAAGCCACTTCATTGGGTTTTGAAATGATGGATTATGTTGTTGCATATCCGTCCAATAAAAAATGGTTCTATGCCATGTCCCAACCCAAAAACTGCTGGACTGATCAGGTAAATATGACATGTATATGTATATTTCATGTTTCTGCTACATTAAATGAAAATGTATCATATATAGTTATCTTGATGTATATGATATATTCATTTAATATGTGTTATATACATATTAATTCAGTATCTAACATTTTATTTTCATTATTTTCTTTTTAAATGTATAATTATGTTTATAATGTTTTGTGTAGCACATCGATGTTGTTTTTTACTATTTTCGTAAAAAATCAAAACTTCGCAGCACGAATCAATACAGATACACAACAGTCAATTGTTTGTTTAGTTCACATATCAACAATACCCATGAAAGGTATTATAACAATGTGGCTGATGATGATATTAGTACCCAAGAACACATTGATCGTGCTGTAGTTGCATCTGTACATAAGAGGTCAATAACCAACGTCATGAAAGGATTTTCAATACCAGCTGCATTACCATGGCATCTTGTGGACGATGTTTACATTTCGATTAATTGTGATGGAAAGTTCCATTGGGTGTTAGCTATTGTTGAATTGAATAAAAGGTTGATACACGTGTATAACTCTTCTGTAGGCACAAGGAAACAAGTACATTATGAGGAGATAAAAAAGTTGTCAAGGATGCTACCTTCTTACCTCCTTGACAGTGGTTTCTTTGAAAAAAATGAGCGGACAATCTGGCCAGAACTTGATGCATATAAGGACAAACAAACGGGTACACTTTTGGAGTCACATATTCCTTTCAATATTGAATACGTTCAAGACATCATGCAACAAGAAGATGATAACATGTAAGTATTTTAATTATTGACTACAATCATATGTGTAAGTTTTTTTTTACAAATTTTTATTCTGCATTTTGTTGTAGGGACTACGGGTTATATGTAGCTACATTTGCAGAGTTTTTGAGTGACCAACTTGTTATACCACCTGATATTAATGGCCATCTAGCAAATTATCTTCGCAATAGATATGCAGCATTGTTGTGGAGATATGGCAGCGACAAGTTCAAGGGTGGATACATAAGTGAGAATGACGATCCACCAAAGCCTAAGGGTCAATTCACAACACCAACTGAACAAGATTTTGTTAACATAGATTAGTACTTAATAGGGATTGCATGAACAACTTTTCATGTTGTTTTGTTTTGAAGACAAATTCACTTTTTTTTATGTGTTTCTCTAAAAACTTAGTACAGTATTTTGTTATTTATTAAAATTCTGTGTTTTCACTATATTGCTTTAGATACATTTGTTGCTTTATAACGTTAAGCCCCACAATCATCACTGTTTGACTTTAAGTAATATGATAGTTTACTTACGAAATGATATATATGATACATAAGTCGTAATGTATATTATGCATGAATTTTATTCACATATACCAAGTACATTTATGTATAAGCCACTTGAATTATACGAATATATATGATACATCATGTAAATCAACAAACATAACACAACAAACTTTTAAATTGAACTACAACACTGCTAAGGTAAAATATATCAAAATTATAACTGTATCAAATGCAGTTTTAAGAGTTTTAATGTGTGCTTCATTAATAGTCTTCAGTGTATATGATACAACATAATGTGGTGTATATGATACATATACTACACGTTTGCAAAAGTAAATTTTGGGACACTTAATTTTGTTTAAATCATTATCATGGTATTGAATCAATATTTTATTCATTTACACATTAATTATTTTTTGCAGTTTATACATTCAGTATAAGAATAATTTTATATTTAATATAAGATTGACACACTGTTATGAACTTATGCATTTAGTTGAACAACAAAATAAATTGTTTAAACAATACACTTTATTTAATCCAAATACTAAAGCAAAAAATACATATAATTGAAATTTATTAACTACGAACACGAATATCCTATTTTAAAACATTATTTCAATTCTCTTTCGGGAAGAAAGTACAAGTCCTCCTGTTGTGACCTTCTTGTCGACATCGCCCACAAGAATTATTGTTCACTGTTATCTTCTCATCCGCATTTTTCTTTCTTCGATTCCTTGGTCGTCCAGCCAACCTTCTCTACCTAGGTGGCAAGACAATTTCATCTAAAACATAGTCTGAAACGGTCCAATCCTCTTTATCTAGCATTGGAACCATTGCAACCTCGTAGGTTTTTTCTAATGCATCCGGCTTGTAGTAATCAGAGCAAAATGGATGCATATCCGTAACATTCTTGTGCTTCAAAACTGCAATTGCGTGTTCGCAAGGTATCTCATCATGTTGAAATCTTCCACACGTACATAATTTTCGCTCAAGGCATACAATGTATCTTCTTCCGGCTTGATAAACTAAAAAAATATATTCAGACGATGGAACAACCTGAAAATAATTAGAAGTTACTGATACATTACATAATATGACATTTACATATCATTTCTCAAACAATGCAAATCAGAGCTGCTGATACATCAAACAGAAGGATAGGGATATTGATAAATACCTTCATCTTTGAACTTTTAGATGCATTTACAATCAATACCTCCTCAAATCTTCGGCCCAATGTGTCCTTTGTATAGGACGCTATTTCTCTATTTTTATAGTTCCAACTACCAAATAGAAGTCTAGCTTCCTCCAAGAAGTCTATTATAGTTAACCGACGTGCATCAACAAGGCAACCATTGATACACTTTGCGATGTTCGAAGTCATCATTCTACCTTTGTTTACTATTGAATGAACTCTTGACCACTTCTTATACCCAGCATCCTCAAGGTAATCCTTCACCCTATGATCAACTTTCACCACCTTAGCCATTAATTTATCAAAATCTTCCTTTCTGTATGCCTTTGCCATTGAGTAAAATATATCACTTAGTGTGTTTTTACTCCTTTTGAAGTTTGAACATACATTCTTCCAAAGATGTCATATGCATGCACAATGAGGTACATTTGGGAACACAATGCTTACACTCTTCATAATACTTTCATTTCTATCTGATACAATACACATGTTTTCACGCTCGTCAAATGTATTTTTGAATTGTTCGAAGAACCATGTCCACGAACAGTCATTTTCAGTGTCTACAACACTATATGCCAACGGCAATATGCAACCTATTTACAAAGTAGCACACATTTAACTATACGATACATAATTGTTACACTAAGATACATTGATTATACACTGAAACAAAGTTCAAAATTACATCAGTATTACAAAATTCATACCTGCACCATCGAGTGTGCTCGCTGATACATAAGTACCTTTGTAAGCCCCACCAAGATGTGCAACATCTACTACAACTATTGATTTGCAATAGTCGAACCCTCTTATCAATGGCCTCAATGCTATGAAAAGATACATGAATTGATTATTTTCCGTCTTTTGCATCCTTATATATGAATTTGGATACACATTATTTAGCATCCATTTGTATCTCGACATCTGCTTATACCCTTCTGATGGTTTACCCTTTAGCATTTCCAGTGCACGTTCCTTAGCACGCCATGCTTGCTGGTATGATATTTCAACCCCATATATTGCTCGAATATCTTCAATTACATCTTGTGGCGTATGAATTCGTTTATGATTAAACAACTTGGGGGCAGTCACACCACTAATAAATCCAATTGTTGCTTGTACTTTTGTAAGTATCCTATCCCGCATCAGACACATATGTTCATTGTTAAAGTACCTCACTTTGAATACATCAGATTTTTTTCTGCACGAAGACCTTAAAATCCACCCACATTCATCACTGAAGCAAACTAACACATAGTTGTACAAATTTTTTCATTAGATTAAGTCATATAACAAAAGCACTGTTAAAGTTTTCCACAACTAATGCATCTGTAATAAAGAACACAACAATTTGAATACAAAATTATTATGTATCACATAATAAATTTAATCAATACACACCTAAATCAATTGTCAATAATAACAATCATAATACTTACCAATTTGTTTAAATCATCAAACACCAACGAACTTATCAATACAATACATATAATAATTAGACTAATGTATCAAACGCAATAGAAACTAGAATTGTATTAATTATATGCATAAATATCAAACACAATATAAACTAGAATTATACTAATTATATGCATAAACTGAAGAAAAACAAATCAAATTAGAGCTAAAACAGTCCAATACCTTTTTTATCCGATCTTTTCACTCTGAAATTGAAGTTGTTCTTTATTTTATATTTCGCCATTACAGGGATGAGTGTTCCTTTATCCTTATATAACTGGCCCGTCTTCACATCAGTACTATTGGAATCAGTTATGTAATTTGTAGCATTCAATTTTGGAATATAATTGAAATCACAAATTCTCGATTCGACCAGAGCAAGAACTTCAGTATCTCTTTCTGTACCTTTCACGCATATGATTTCACCGGATGAACATTCAAAGTTATGTATCTCCTCAACCATTTTCTCATTTGTATCAATACATAACGGATACATGCCGATTCCAGGCTCATTTCTTCTTACTTCCAAATAAAGTTTCACACCCATGTCGTTCCTGATTTTCAATGGACATGTGTTTTCGTCTACGATGTATCGAATTTCAATATCTTTTCTAACACTGTCGATCTCCAACTCTGCTAAAATCAACGCTTTCAGATTCATAAATGAAATTGATTCTCCAACGACAATTCCATCAACCTTGTAACCTTCGTAATTAACATCGCTTACCCAAATTCCAGAATGTCGTAATAAAATTGTGATATTCATCGTCTAAAGCTATTTTTTTTCAAGTTCTTAGAATGTAGATCCACTTTATCATGATAAATTTGGTTAGCTGAAAGAGCTCTAATTTGAAATTTGAATTTATCAATCAGTTACGTAATGAAATTGAAGGTTTACAATCTTTCAGGCGTGAATTATGGGATTTATAGTTATTAAATCAAATCTACGTTATTGTTTCCTTCTGAAATGCAACAACTATTAACTGGAATGTATCAAACCTTAAGTATCCCGTGCACAACGCTATGTATCCCGCAAATAACATTTGTAAGGGATTTTTGGTAAATAGAAAACTAGAAGGGATAAGATGTTATTTAGTACTTATAATATGTGGTTCCTATAATTTATATTTTTTTTTATAAAAAATATGGGCTGAAAAATAATTAATATTTGTGGATTTTACAAGGAGCCCAAATTTGGCTTGGGCCTAAATAGAAAATTGACCATTGTTGGGCTTTAAACATTGAGAGGTGAAAAACCATAAAAGTGAGAAATCTTAAAAGTTCCAAATCAACCATAAAAGAATAGATACGCAAATACCTCATAAAAGCAAAATAATTACATACATACCTTTACATTCATACTCCATTAAATAATTACACTATATACCCCCCCCCCCCTCTAACTAATTTCCCTTAACGGATACTAAATCAATATCATATACTGTATTGATATCATTAAGGTTTATTGTTCAGAAATTACTCATTAGTCAATGATACTATAAGAGTATATATATATACTCTTATAGTATCATTGACTAATGAGTAATTTCTGAACAATTCTTGTTCAGAAATTACTTCTTGTTCAGAAATTACTCATTAGTCAATGATACTATAAGAGTATATATATATACTATTATAGAATCATTGACTAATGAGTAATTTCTGAGCACTAAACCTTAATGATACCACAACAATATACATATATTGTTATAGTATTATTAACTAATGAGTAAATTCTAAATAAGAAACCTTCATGATACCACAACAATATACGCATACTCTATAATATCATTGACTAATGAGTAATTTCTGAACAAGAAGTAATTTCTGAACAAGAAGCCTTAATGATACCAATACAGTATATATATACACTATAGTATCAGTTAAGCGAAATTATCAGCCTTAACAATACCAATACAACATATGGTACTGATTTAGTATCAGTTAAACGAAAATTATCAACCTTAATGAATGGGGGTATGGGATGTAATTTTTTTTTTGAGAGAATGGGTATTTCTTGAATTAATTTGGATTGGGGGTATGAACATGTAATTATTTTGAATTTTATGGCTCATTTATATAGTTTCCTTAAATAATATCACAATTTTTTTACAAACCTTTTGACTTGACATGACGTTTAATATTTGACATAACACAAGAAAAAAATTTAGAAAACTTTTGAAATTTGTGGTCTAAAACACGCCTTAGACATTTTTGTGACTAAAAATCATTTCACTAAGGGTAAAAGAGAAATTTTAGAATTAAATTATTTTTAATTATAGAAAAATAACATTCTTTTTTAGACGGACTAAAAGGAAAGTAGGTCACATAAATTGGGGAAAAAAAGAATATTAATTAAGTACTACAATGGTTTTTAAATATATATGTTTGTATTATGCTTTACTTTGATTTATTACACTTGAGTTGTGTGTCTTTTGAAAATAATTTTTCTATCTCTATAAGGTAGAAATAAGATGTGCGTACACTAACCAACAAAGATTGTGTTAGAGTGGTAAATACTCCTTCATCCTTAACCAGAGATTTCAAGTTTGAGTTGTCTGAGTATGGAGTCACCTTTGTTAGGAAGCATTTTACCCTCTAATAAGAGACTTCCTAACGCAAATAAACACCAGATAAGAAACCAAAAGGAAGATATACGTACACTCTATCCTTTTTAATTTCACTTTATATTGTTATTGTTATATGTTTGTATTGCTAACTTTTTTAAAAACTATTATTATTTTGGCTAGTCACACTAGAATATGAACTAGAAAGTTGATCACCTATTTCCCTATTATCACACAATGGCAGGCTGTCAACCTTTATTTACAAGAAAAAAACAAGTACCAAACTCAAAATTTGAAATGCACCAACCAATTCAAAATGCAAGCTCAACTTAAATGCTTCATTAACCTATATGTAGAACTTTTTTTGTACCACACTCAACAATCTTGCAACATACACTTAGCCATGAGAGGCGGAGCTGAGATTTAAAGTTTATGAATTCAAGAATTGAGATTCTAATTTTTTTTCTTTCACTACTGATTTTTAAAGTAATAATATACATATTCAAAACAAATTCAAAGTTAGGAACAAAATTATTGAATCAACATGTAAAGAGCAGAAAAAAGAGACTTTGGTGGGACATGAGCCACATTATGCATGCCATATGATGACACCTATAAAAAGCAAAATTAATTAATGGATATTGAAACTTAACTAATGTTTATTCCGACTCTTTAACAATATTGTTATATCTATATTAAATTTTTCAAGAATACACTAGGTTTTGGAAGAATATCCGACACAAACCTGGTAGTACTTTTGAAAAGTCCGAGTAACATGGAGTTAGGAGAGGAATTCGGCCAAACTTAGTCGCTTTTGGTTCCTAATATTTATATTTAAAAAATCCATTAAATATACACAAATTATTAATAAAGAACCTATTAACTTTAAAGGACTAAACACACAAGCTCATAAACTTCATATTCTGATTCCGCGCCTCTGCATAAAGATTAACTAGCTTTAATCATTTGCCTTCTCTCCATTTGAGTCTGAAGTTTCTCTCTAGCATGCCTCAGTGCATCAAGAACTTCTCTCACAGTAGCATCAAGAACAATTGGATCAATATTTTGCTTTGTCTTTGGATTCTCCATAGGAACTAATGCCAATGAATTGTCCACTTGATTTCCTTCATTTTTCTCTTCCTCCTCAATTGAAGATTTCAAACTAGAATCATAATAACAATAATGTTATGAGATTTTGATTGTTGTCACATGAAAAAAAAAACCTTAAAAAAGATAACATTATGCTTTATTTGCAAGTTAAGTACGAGTTTAACTTCTACGCATCGATGATCTAACACTATTAGGTAAGTCAAAAATTATGTTGGTTTGATTTTTCAAAAATGATGATGGTTGCTTTGTTGCTCGTATCCTTTAAAAATATCGTTAGGTGTATGTCAGTTTAGGATCTTTCATAAACTATGTATTTTTTGAAGGATTCGACAAAGGTTTTGCGACAAATTTCTTTAAGGTTACCAACAACATAGGTTGGTGTCTGGTGGATCCTTCAAAAGTTGTGTTTTTTTGGAAGATCTAATACTGATGCAACAACATTTTTAGAGGTCTCAAGCAAACATAGTTTAAAAGATAACTATAGGTAACCAATCTATAAAAATGAGATTTATAACTTAAAAAATAATGTAATTTGTATATTAAAATAAACTAATAGTGAAAACAATTTTAACAATATCAGTGTAATATTTTCTTTGTCCTAGTTTATATGATTCATTTTTTTTAGTCAATCCAAACAAGAATGATATGATTCATTTTTTTTTCAAATTTCACATTTTTCATGAGTTGTCATCTTCAAAAATCACTCCAATGTATGGACCAACCATTTTTTTTTTGGGAAAAAAATATGGAAATTAATTTAGAAACCTTGTTTCCCATATTTTGTGCCTCTTGTTTTGCAATTCTTGAAGCCACTCTTTCAGCAAGCAATCTCCCTCTTAGACATTCCATTTTTCTCAAACTATCTTCTTCTTCTATTTTCTTCTCACTGAGGAAAAAAAATAAAGAATTAATCTAAATAACCGTCCATCAAAATATTTAAATTAAAAATATTCAGTAAAGATAAAATATCCTTGGCTGCAAAACATTCCTAATACTTGGCATCTGATGGTT